GGGTCACCGATCCGTTTTTTAAACCATTGATTAAAACTAGGCGGTCTAACCGGAACACTCTCATCTCAAATATCAATACGTGGTGGGGTCCCCAAATACGTGGGCTTATCTTTGATCTGAAAAACCTACTTTCATCTTTGCTGGTATTAATTCCCAAAAAGCTCCAAAATTGCTCTAAATCAGACCTCGTGAACCATTTACTTTAGAGAGTACGAGTTTTGACCATTTGATGGAAACGAGATTCATTATTGTTGAAAAAAATAAAAATAAAAAAATATTAAAGATGATCTAGAAAAATTGCTTATCAAAAGTCCAATGTGTAAAGTCAGATTGGACAATACAAGAGTTTGATTAAAACATGATTTTAAAACATGAAGTTTCCAAAAAAAAACTCTGTTTTTTGAAATCCACTAAGAATTCCAAGTTTTTTAAAAAATCTTAAAAAGTCATGTTCTTTAATTAGAACTGATATAAATCTGTATTTTATCTTTTGAAAAAAAAACTTTTCAAAAAAACTTCTTCAATAAAGCTTCAGCTCTTCATTAATTTATTGTCTTTGAATTTTAGCTCAGAGATAAGCACGTTAAATTAACAAACATTTTGATAAAATATTTTCACCAATGTTTTTCCTTAAAAAGGCCTAAAATATTATTAAAAAATTAATCTATCAAAATAAGCATATATCTAAAAATATTAGTTAGGAGTTAGAAGAAATGTAACCCATGAAAAATGTATTTTTCTATAAGCACATAGCGTCATTATAAAAAACAGGAGAGAGATTTTGTGAGAACTAAAGATATAGTTATCTCAGAGTGTGAAAATTTGGATTTAATTAAGCACTTTGTTGCAATATTTTTTTATTAAGAAGTTCTAATAATTTCACGTTTTCATTTTTTTCTTTTTTTGTTTCAATATTGTATAAAACATGGCAATTTGATGGACCACTATTTATGTTTTTGGGTTTTTTTTTGCTTTGGTTAACCGCAATCCTTTAATAAGGGCTGTTTTTACTTTTTCTTTCAAATAATAATCACATACTTGGGGTAACATTCTTGTTGTTAGCAAATGTAGTTTTTGGGTTTAGTATTATTGTTGTTTTATTCTATGCTCCCAATAAATCCATCATATGTTTTGTGTTGTGACAACAGATTAAGCATTTTTATTGTAAGTACTAAAAGTATAGACAAAAAATTGTCAAGTATGTTGTTAATGATATTTCATAACTACATAAAAACCATAGTTCAATGGTTTTAATTTATCCATACAATAACATTAACTCATAATCTTATAGGGTTTTATTAAGCTACATCATTTGTATTACAGACCCTTAAAGTGCTCAACATTTTTAGACATGATAGTAACTTTGTTTTAGGGGTATTTTAACTAATTAATCAAGGGTAAACTATAAATTTCTAATAGAAACAAAAACATTTATTAACAATAGTAGTCAATGACATCACCGATATGGAGTGTGACATCACCCACAAGATGCATTAATTGTTTTTAACTACTAATAAAATGCCACTATTTTTTTATAAAAATATCCATTTTATCATTCTAATGATAAAAAATACCCTTACTTGAAAAATTTTGTATTACACTTCAATGGTATATTTTACCCAATTTTTTTTTCCAAATTTTTAGAACAAAACCGATTTATTACCAGTGTTTTGGTTTGCCAATATATTGTTATTCTCCGGCTTGCTAACTATGGGATGGATCACACTATTGCGCCTAAACATTTTAAAATAGTTTCACTAAATTGTTGAATTGTGGTGGATACTTGAATAATGGCTATATATATATTTATATATATGTATTATTTATTATTTATATCTTTTTTGTGGCTTTAGGGTATGTTTTCAGATATGGTGAGGAGCACTGAGGAGATGCTAGGAAGATGGAGAGAAAAAGAAGGCCAGGAGATCGAAATTTCTAGCGAACTAAGGCTCTTGACACAAGATGTAATTTCAAGGACGGCATTTGGAAGCAACTATTTACAGGGCCAAAAACTGTTCAACTTGTTTTCAAAGATGGGAATTTTGTTCTCTTCAAATATTCGAAAAGTCCGGTTTCCAGGTAGTGGGTAAGATCCTACCATCCCTCAATTTTATTTTGAACTCTATCATCGTCATCATCATCATTTTAGCTTTTTTCAATGAATTGAAGTCGAATGGAAGAATCCTGGTTCTCCATTCTTTTCTATTAAAAGCAATTTCTTCAATGGGACCATATGTCTCCATATCTTTTCAGACTACTTGTCGAGCAAGCAATAACGGCACATGACTAACTCTCTGCACATCATGTCTCAAGCCACATGTGGCAAAGAAAGAAAATCTCTCATATACTGTTGGCTATGTGATTCATATCTCATATACTGTTGGCTATGTGATTCATATGCAAATTTCATTTGTCTGCGACACATTTCTATAAAATATCTTCTTCTAGTTATTATGAGGAATGTTTAGTTACTCAATTTCGTCAAACAATTTGTTTGTTTCTAAATCTCATCTTTTCAGGCATGGAATACAAATAACCTTGTTTTAGTGATAAACAAGAAAGGCAAACATAAATTTTACTTGAGGGCAACCGCTTTCAACTTGAATTAACTCGTACCTCGTGACAGGTGTTGTACTTGGTTGGTATCACACATAACCCGCCTACTTAAGTTTATTCTCTCTCATTTTATCATATATTGATGCAACACCTAAATTCTCTTGGATAGATTCATTTCGTATTCTATAACTTCTTTTGAACTCTATATGGGAGAAATATCGGTAAAACAATTGTCTAATTTCTGTCATATAATAAATTCAAATTAATTTTGAAGAAATGAAAGTCTGTCCATTGTTTACAAAAAGAAATGGGAGAAACTTTGGTTTGGATATTTTACAGAAGAGGGATGGTTAAAAGCGAGCAGGTCCAGTTTACGCTTATTCTACTTGCAGCCCTAAGAGTGTAAGCCTCATTTAGGCTAGCTCGGGCTTGGCCTTGCTTGTATTATTCAGGTATTGTTGGGCTTGTGATGACTATACCCAGCTTGAACCTGACCCATTTCCAGTCCAAATAAATGTGGACACTGGATGTATACCCGAGCCTGAGCTTCAACCATTTACCATCCCAACAAATATGGACAATGGATGTATACCCTAGCCTGAGCCTTAACGTTTCCCATCATAATAAATATGGACAATCGATGTAAAGTATGAGTGCTTGAAAGCTGTACTTGAAAAGTATAACGTCCAGTCAAAACGAAACAAGCAGTTCAAACTGAAGTAAACAAACAAAATATATCATAGAAAATTGCACATAGAAAATATTCAAAATAAATATCCAATATAGTCATTATTATAGTCTCTTAAAGAGAGTTATTGTGCTCTCTTTGGTTGTTGGGGAAATGGAAACAACAATATTCTTATGTTGCACAAAAAACTTAAGAAAAATTATAGATATCTTTCAAAATGAACTTCGCTGACATCTTCATCCCAATATTTTTAGTATAACACCCTAGATCCAAACAGTGTTTTAGTTTTGTATTTATCCCCTAGTGCAAAAGTAATAAAAATGAACAGTAAAATGTGATTCTCCTCTCTCACTCTCTCTACGGCCCTCCTCTCTTTCTCTCCTCCCCGCCTTCTCTCTACCCTCCCTCTCTCTACCCCTGTCTCAGTACCTGCCCTCTCTCACTCTCTCTCTCTCAACCCACCCTCTCTAACTTCCTCACCCAACAGTCCAACCCCCACAACACTCCTCCCTTTGTCTCTCTCTCTAAAACCATTGCCTCTCTCAATCCCTCTTTCTTTGGATTAATACAGGGAGAGAGAGACTCTTAACTATGTGAACCTCAATTCTCCCAACCTTGCTTTTTTTTTTTTTCTCTCTCAGCAGTCCCTCCCTTTGTCTATTAATCCCCTTCTCTCTGTCTCTTACGATATAAAGAGAGATCTCGGTATCACACTGTTCAACCTCTTCATTCCTTTAAGCACCCCGAAACATCCATTAATCAATGTCTTTCTCTCATCCAATCTCTTCATTCCTTTATACACCCCCAAACATCCATTAATCAATGTCTCTCTCTCATCCAATATTTGATATTCAGAGAGATCCAACTCGACCTCCCCTTGTGTCTATCATGCACGATGACTTCCTTTCTATTTCAATGCCAGGGCCGAGCACAGAGCTCACAATGTGGCCGCAGCAGCAGAGGAGAAAGTCTACCCAAATCTCACTCTCTACCCCCTTTTCCCAGCCGCTCTCTCCTGCCCTCTCTGTTTCTACCCATCCTCTCTTTCTCTCTACCTCAATATCTCTCAAGGAGAGTGAGAGAGGGCAGGTAGAGAGAGGGGTTAGAGAGAGAGGGCAGGTAGAGAGTGAGTGAGAGAGGGTGGGTAGACAAAGGGTAAAAAGCGAGAGAACGAGATTTGGGGTGGGCAGAGAGAGAGAAAGAAAGATGGTGAGTAAAGAGTGTGAGACAGGAAAAAGACATTTTAGTTTTAATTTTTTGAATCTTTTTACTGAGCGTAAATATATAAAAAAACTATTTTGGGTCTAGAGTGGAACACTAAACCTATTTTGGGTCTAGATCAATGTAACCGGGAGTGAATGTCTACAAAGTTCATTTTAAAGGTTTTTATAATTTTTTTCAAAGACTTAACATAACAAGTTTTTAAGGGATTGTATACTGTGACACCATTTATTTTTTATTTTTTATACAAAACATACAATCACTTTGAACCATTGGATGCAAAATCTAATAGATAAAAATGTGTCACAATAATCAAGACATTGTTTTGTACATTGTGCCTAAATAATAACACATCCTCAACCACTTGAGATCAAATCTAACAACAAATGATGTTTGTGACATACTTATATCAACAGTTAATGGCCTCACTCCATATATTTCCCATTTTTAATACTTTTACTTTGAACAAACAAGTTATAGTTAAAGACAAATATTTTTTCTTATATTTCCTCGTAATGCAAAGATAGAAATATATTTAGCAAAATTGAAATAAGGTAATATCCCAATGAAGACTTATTTGCGAAAGTTAGAAATTATAGAATTTGAGGCATATCCACCTTTGTAAAAGACATTAACCTTTGAAATTTGTGTTTCTAAAATTATATATTAGTTTTTCTTATGTTTATATTCTAAAATAAAATAATTTTTTTAAATATATAACACCTTTTTAAAAAAAATTGCTTGACATTTAAACTTAGGGATTCAAAAAAGTGAAAAACAAACTACCACTATGTCATAAACTTAATAAATTTCGTATTGAATAAAATTAATTTTTCAAATTATAAGGAATCATTAAGTTTATCACTTTCCAATTAAAAAGGACAAACCAGAAAAAATCCACCAAAAAATTAGGGCAGTGAAGAAATATTAGAAAGGAGCATGCCTACTATGCTCCTGTAAGAGCAAAAAATCAATTTGCCTGCTTAAGGCAAATGACATACTTTAAGTGATTTTTTGAAATCCAAGTTTTAGGATCTCTATTAACCCAGATTTGGTTGTCCATGTATTGGATGTTGCATCTTTAATCCTAGGGTTTGATTCCTTTCTTCTCATCTAGATATTCAATTTTTTTTCCTAAATAGGTCAGAACCCAAATTTGGAGTCCTAAACATACATCTTCCTGGGGCTTTGCCTAATAGAGTAGCAAAAATAATTTCACTGCCACAATAAGTGTGGCAAAAGGCGGGGCCTGGGCAGGTCAACCCTGGCCCTGGTGCTGACCCAGAACTTTCCCCATGAGGCCCGCACGGCCTTGCAGGGCCAAGCCAAAAACAAATAAATATTAAATGAAAGAAAAAAGATGAAGAAAAAAGTGGGCCGGACCAGCTCTGGCCTGAGTACGGCACTCGGGCAACAGTTTCTAGCCCAGACCCTACTTTTTCAGGGTCTCGCCAATTGGGCCATGGTTGGGCCGCTGGGCGCATTGGAAGTCCTACACAAGAAAAAATTTTCTTTTTTAACTTGGATAGAAATATTGGAACGTTCTATCTTGACATGTCACATGAAATAACTCAGAAGATTACATGAAACATGATGGACATAATTTTTTTAACTTGAATAGAAATATTGTATCCTTCGAAGTTAATGTACCCTTAGTACTATTACAAACTAATCTCAAACATTTTTTAAGCTAAGCAGCCCAGCTCAGTCTAGTTCGTGGCGTGCTTAGGCCTCATATGAAGGCCAGGTTCAAGCCAGGCCCTGCCTAATGGCGGCCCCAACGCTAGAGTCGGGCCTGGGCTAAGGTCAACCCGGCCCTTTGCCAGACCTACCATTTGATAACCAATAAGATATATGATATATTGATCAGAAGTGATTATTGTTATTGTTCTATCCACAATTGCATTATCCACAATTGCATAACAAACTAGTACAAGGGTGTATACCATGCTCCCACCGGAGCATAATGTAGAGAACTCCCTCGGGCAAAAGACCTTGATGGGAGGATTCTTTTTGGTCCAAAATGTAGTGACAAATATTGCTATTCAGTTTCCAAACTGATAGAGGGACCACTTTAGGGACTACCAATCCGGCTTCAAATGAATATTGAAGAGCGCCAATTTTCTTTGATGGACCATTTCCATTGAAACAAAAAAAAAGTGCATGTGCTGCTAGTAGATTTGCTTTACATACTTCATTTATGGAAATGTAGAATTCTAAGTCTCACCATGGCTTTTCCTACTGTGAATGGAAACCTAGATGGGTAGATCAAGGGGGAATACCAAACCCCTACCTATCTTAAGTAATAGTTAGTGGTTTTTATGAAAACCTAGACCTATAGCTGAATCTTAGGTGGTACTACCGGTACGACCTTAACCCCATTCCCAAAGAACTCCTCATGTAAATGCTATACACTATTCATTACGCTTAAGTATGACATATATGCATCTCTTTCATTGCTCGCAATCAGAGAGAGAGAGAGAGAGAATCAAGTTTCTTAAGTATTCATTTTTACGTTTTCCTTTTCTTTTATTTTGATTGCAGATTTTTTCGATTTAGCGACGAAGTTGAAGCAAAAATATTAGATGCAGAAATAATGAGACTGATTATGAAAATGATTAAGGCAAGAGAAGAGAAAGCAAATAATGGAGAGTCAGTGGGATATGGGCATGATTTCTTTGGAATGTTGTTAAAATCTGGTCATGATACTAAAAAAGATGCCAAGCTATCGCTGCAAGACATCTTGGATGAATGCAAGACCTTCTACTTTGCTGGTCATGAGACCACGTATGGCCTAATCACTTGGATAATTATTCTCTTAGCCATGCACCCAGAGTGGCAAGATAAGGCAAGGAAAGAGGTAACTGAAGTCTTCAGCTCAAGCATACCGACCATGGATGGCATCAGCCGACTCAAAATAGTAAGTTCCTAGCATTCTTTTTTATTTACGTATTTATTTATTTATCTATTTTTCTCTTTATTTTTCGAGAAATGTTGCTGAAGTTTTTTTTGAATGAGAAACCCATTAAACCTAGGCATAATACTGAAAACTAACAATGAAGAACAAGAAAATTATGAATAGATAAACAAGAAGCTACAGATCCTTGTTTTTCCAATAAATTTGCCTCCTCAGTTGCCTCCATGCATAAAGGAGACATCCACCGTACTGCAAATTTCTTGAATATGAAATTCGTGATACCACGAATTCCAATGTACTAACTGTTCAATCTTGCACCATTTGATTAATATTCGAAGAATCACATTCCACCAAAAATCTTAGCGCTAACTACTCCATCTCAATAACTATTAACTCCTTCATGATTTATGACGATACCAACCATACCTAATGGCACCCAAAAAACTCTCATCAAAATTTTACTCGATGACATTTATATACGGAAGAGTCTAAGCTGCAATGACCCTCCTTCTTGAAACACCCAGTTTAATCAACTCGTGAAAATTATATTTAACTTCATACCTAAAGAGGCCAGAACACCTTTTTTATCTTAGCGCTCGAACAACAGTCCCAAAATCTTGTCTTTGATTCTCTCAACATCCATATAAACACCATCAAATACCCTCCTATTCCTTGCCCTCCCAATCCACCAAAGAATCACAACTATAACGGCTTTCCAAATCATCCTCCCAATCTTTAGCCACACAGCAATGTCATCAACAATTTCCACTGCATGCTTAGGAAATACCAACTACACCCCCAGTTTATGACATGCTCAGATCCGGATAGCTTATGGCTATGGGCACCAAAGAAATAGGTGATCGCCAAACTCGGTATCTTGTTTATATAAGATGCGTTGATACTAACAATTATTTGTCCCCTTTCTTTGAATCATTGACAGTAAGATTCTTCAGTTCGGAAGATAATCCAATGGAAGGATAGTATTTAATGAGGAATAAGATCATAGTTATCGGGAGTGCATAATTAGGGTGGCGCTCCCGCTTCGGGACCCAGCTCCGGCGCTTCATGGTCGAGATCTCGTCCGGAACCCATTCTCAATATTTTGGGAGCTCACTCCTATTTTTAGGATTTTTTATCCCAATCGCAATGGAGCTCGCTCCCACTACTGCATGGATTTCACTCCCACTGTCCCACGGAATGCATTCCCGAACAAATTAGATCCCCCATCATAGAATTTTAGGATCGTGATCCCTACGTTCCTAGAAATCCATCCTTAGGAAGGATCCCACTATGAACAAAAATAGAGCCACCCACCATTAAATAGTAGCGTTATCAGCCAAAAACGCATAGAAATTGGGCTCCAAGACTCAAAGAAGCTATTCTAGCCCTAATTCCAGATGGGTAATTTTTGGGTACTCTATTAAAAATGTTAATTTTCATTTACAATCATTTACAAAGGTTTTTCATTTGAATTCCTATAGAAAACCAGTCACCCCAATTCTTGAATTTGTCAAGGCCAACTTTATAACATACTTGAAATCTCTTTGTATATTCAGGCTTTCATGGTTTCCCTAGAAAATTAATAGCTTCCCATTTGATATCTCTGCGTCTTGCTTGAGCTTTTCTAAAATATAAAGGAACTTGAACTTTTCTCCTCCTCTGTCAAGGATATCACCATGCTTCACAACCCTGGAGTTGCTTGCAATCCAGTGAATAGTTTTTCATTGAAGATTTTAGCCATTTTTAGAGCTTGTTTGGCCTTTTGGAGATCACCATAGAGTCCCCAACTACTAGCAAGCAAGGTTCAGATGGGTTTATAGATTTTTGTTGTTGTTGTGCTTTCTAAGGAGAGAGAAAAAGTCCACTCCTTGCGAAGTCAGACGAATGTGTTCATGAAGTTAGAGAGAGAGAGAGGGACGCGTTTTGATAGATGGGTCGATTGGATTAGGGGTGTGGAGGTCGAAGAGGTGATAAATGTGAAGATGTGGTGAATATCTAGTCAAGAGAGAGAGAGAGGTAGAGAGAGGGAGGACAGGTGGAGATTGGCTCCAAGTTAAGTGGAACACGATCCAACCTTGAATGGAGCTTGATTCATTCCAAATAGGAACACATTTTTCTTAGATGGAGGCACGACTAAACTTTAAATAGGATCCCGTTCCTGTTGCCTATGGGAGCGCGATCCTAATGAGCATGGGAACACGATCTCATTTTACACGGAATGCATTCTCGTTAAATAAGGACATCGATCCCAATGTATCTGGAACACGCTCTCTGTTCATATGGAATCTTGATCCTCTTCTTTTACCCTCACTGGAACTCTCTCTCCGAGCTCCAGATCTTTAGGCAGCCCTCGATCTGAAACTCTCGCTCTTGGAACCGGAGCCATTCCCGCGCTCGCTCCCGGAAACTACGTCTACTTCCAAATTTTTGCAATTTTACATTTTTGCAATTTTACAAAGAACTAACAGAAAAAATTCCATTAGAATGAGCTTCCCACGCTACTTCATCCTCCCTACTAGTGTGATGATTATGGAGCTCCAGCGGTAAACTCTAAAGAGGAGACGTGACGAAGTTAGGTGATGGTTTATACAAATCAAATGCTAAAATGTACTACAACCACACCAAGCAACAGCCTCAACAATCTTTGGATTTTGTTAAATAATTCTCAGTAAAAGCTTTGGATATTTCACTTTAAGTTGCCAATTACTCAACCATTTATGATACAGATACCAAAACTGGGTGTTATCACCTTTCTTCGCTATTATAGTCACATTTCTCTCAAAGAAAGGCCTATAATACAGAATGCGCATCCACACCATCAAACACCTTCTAACTCTTGTAGAAATCCTTACAATAGATAATTTTGATCTAGGCCATACTATCAAACCAAAATCACTTGCCATTACTGGTTACCATCTCGTGTATTTCTGTATAACCATTTGGTCAATAACTGTGTTCACAAAATCGAACAGAAACGGTTAACCGGTCATGAGGCTGGGAGCGGTTCGATCTGGAACTGAACTAATCGGGGCTGTTAATCGGACTAACCGGTCAAGTAGATTTTTTTTAAAAAAAGGTAAAAAAACCCTCGAAACATTTTTAAAAAATAAAAAAACTTAGATTAAGACATGTATAAGTCATTTTTCTTTTTTCTTTTCATCTTCTTGACTGGTCATATATTAGTCATTTGGATCAAGTTGCATCATAAGGTGCAAACAATTCATGGCTTCAATAGAGCAATGGAAAATTTTTGAAAATTCACAAGGCTTCTATAGTAATTCCATAGATTCTCACTGAATAGTAGTCAGTAGTGTTGCAATAAATATATCGGTGTGTATAAAGTCTAGCCTAATGAAATGTTATATAATAAGATTGTAACTGTTCCAAGGTCCAAACTAGATGTGGGTGGAAATTTGTGATGAATGTACTCAGGCCAACCTGCAAAAGGATACGATTTGAAAGATAAAATGTACCAATACCTTGACCACGTGCTATGATTTCCTATCAAAAGCACAAGGAATTCATTATACAGGAAACTTAACCAAGAAACATGAATGTTTTAATACTATTCAGTCAACACAAACTCATTCCACATTTCCACACTAAAGAAGAAAGTAGAACAAAAAGAAATACTTATATATAAAAAATAATATAACATTACAAGCAATCCAACAAGCTCACCAAAAATATATAACATTAAGAAGAAAGAAATATTTTTTTCGCATATTCATCACAAAAAAACATATTTTTTTGAAAAAAAACTTATAACATTAAAACTAAAGAAATATTTTTTTCTCATAGTCATCACAAAAAAAATATTTTTATAAAAAGATATATAACATTAAAAACAATCCAACAAGCTCACCAAAAATATATAGCACTAAAAATAAATGAAATATTTTTTTCTCATATTCATCACAAAAAAAAGCATACTTTTTGTAGTCGTGGGAGCAAGGCACACAGGGGATAGGA